ATCAAGAGGGGCTCCTGGCGGAGCTCGGAAACCTCCTGGACCCCAAAGGGGAACCCCTGGGGCTGCTGGGGCTGCTGGACCCCAAAGGGGAACCCCTGGGGCTGCTGGACCCCAAAGGGGAACCCCTGGGGCTGCTGGGGCTGCTGGACCCCAAAGGGGAACCCCTGGGGCTGCTGGACCCCGAAGAGAGCCCCGAGGAGTCCGAGGATCACGAAGAGAGTCCTGAGGAGTCCGAGGAGTCTGAAGAGAGCCCCGAGGAGTCCGAGGATTTTGAGGAGAGCCCCGAGGAGTCTGAGGATCACGAAGAGAGTCCTGAGGATCCCAAAGAGAGCCCTGAAGAGTCCGAGGATCCCAAAGAGAGCCCCGAGGATCCCGAGGATCACGAGGAGAGTCCTGAGGAGTCTGAAGAGAGCCCTGAAGAGTCTGAAGATCCCAAAGAGAGCCCTGAAGAGTCCGAGGATCACGAAGAGAGCCCTGAAGAGTCCGAGGATTTTCAAGAGAGCCCCGAGGAGTCTGAGGATCACGAAGAAAGCCCTGAAGAGTCTGAGGATCACGAAGAAAGCCCTGAAGAGTCTGAGGATCATGAAGAGAGCCCTGAAGAGTCTGAGGATTTTGAGGAGAGCCCTGAAGAGTCTGAAGATCACGAAGAGAGCCCCGAGGAGTCTGAAGAGAGTCCTGAAGAGTCTGAGGATCCCAAAGAGAGCCCCGAGGAGTCCGAGGATCATGAAGAGAGCCCTGAAGAGTCCGAGGATCACGAGGAGAGCCCTGAAGAGTCTGAGGATCCCAAAGAGAGCCCCGAGGATCCCAAAGAGAGCCCTGAAGAGTCTGAGGAGTCTGAAGAGAGTCCTGAAGAGTCTGAGGATCCCAAAGAGAGTCCTGAGGAGTCTGAGGATCATGAAGAAAGCCCTGAAGAGTCTGAAGATCACGAGGAGAGTCCTGAAGAGTCTGAAGATCACGAGGAGAGCCCCGAAGAGTCCGAGGACCACGAAGAGAGCTCTGAGGAGTCCGAGGAGTCTGAAGAAAGCCCTGAAGAGTCTGAAGATCATGAGGAGAGCCCTGAGGAGTCTGAGGATTTTGAGGAGAGCCCTGAAGAGTCTGAAGAGAGTCCTGAGGAGTCTGAGGACCACGAAGAGAGCCCTGAGGAGTCTGAAGATCACGAAGAGAGTCCTGAGGATCCCAAAGAGAGCCCCGAGGAGTCTGAAGATCACGAGGAGAGCCCTGAAGAGTCCGAGGACCACGAGGAGAGCCCCGAGGAGTCTGAAGATCACGAAGAGAGCCCCGAGGAGTCCGAGGATCACGAAGAGAGCTCTGAGGAGTCTGAAGAAAGCTCTGAGGATCCCGAAGAGAGCTCTGAGGAATCCGAGGATCCCGAAGAGAGCTCTGAGGAGTCGGAGGAGCTCAGCGTGGATCCGACCCTCCTCGGGGAGCTGGCAACCAAACTAAAAGGTTTGGGAC